TGGTCTCTGAAGTATGCTGTTAGATTGTGAAAATTGTTCTCTCCTTTTTAAAACTCACATCACAGGAGCCACAAAGCATGAAACCATAAGAGGAACTATTTTTGCCACCTCAACTTCTGTGTATGTAGTATAAAGCCTTACTTCTCAATTGACCTGTGTGTCTGCACCAAATAACACCCCAGATTTAACAGTTGTTGATAAGAAAGACAAAAAGTCTGGATAGTGGATGCCGTAATATCTGGAGACAGCAGAAGAGAAGACAAAGAAAGGGAGAAAATAACAAAATACAAAAAGTGCAAATAGAAGTAGAACAACCGTGGCAAAAAAAGCAAAGATACTACCAATAGTAATAGGCACTTTGAGTGCAATCCAGTGGTGGAATTCAAATATTTTTACCACCAGTTCAGTGGGTGTGGCTTGGTGGGTGTGCTTTGCATGTGTACATACATTTTGCATGTGCATGCACCAAACACGCACTTTGTGCAAGCGCAGAGGCGTTTACGCAAGCGCAGAGGCATTTGCGTAGGCACGGAGGCGTTCTAAGTCACCTCTTGCAAGCCTGCATGATCCCAATTGCTTCAGCAGTTGCCACGCGGCACTCTTCTCTGCCATGCAGAGCAGCTGCGCTTCAAATTTAGAGGATAAAGGGCGGGTGGGTAGGCCCAACAGCAAAGCGGCAGAGAGAACCAGTTCGGTCTCCTCTGCTCATCGCTGCTACCGGCTCGGCAGAACCAGGCCAAACCAGTAGAATACTACCACTGATGCAATCCCAAAACAACTTAGATACCATTTGAATACTACGGCATTGACAAAATTACTATCAGTAAATTGCAAAAGGCAGCTCTACCTGGAACAGCTTATATCCTGCTACAATACCTTTAACAACATCTGCCTATCCCAGGAGGATTCAATAGATAGATAAACATGCCAAATTCAGTTTAAACATCTGGCTGACTATACAACCAAACAATATTATTATTTTAGGCTTGCAGAAATTTATTGACCAGAATTCCCAAGCTTCTAGAGTACACAGTTGATGCTCATCAGTCCTTGGCTGTCCTGAGGTTTTTGCAACAATCCTTGTCATAATCCATCTCAGTGCTGCGAAACTGCAAATTCTCTAAAGATTTTCTTTATCTTACTTCTTGAGTCAGACTTTGAAAATTAATATAGAATAAAGGGAAAAAGTATTATATGATTTTCTACATTGTATTCTCTAACTGTGATGTTAACTACAGCAAGCCCCAAAATATTTTCATACAAAGATGTGACCTTTATTGCCTCATATCCTACAAGGTGATACTTATGCCACTGATGTCTGATTTTGAACAGAAGACATTTGTATTTTCATCAGGAAAAAACCCATCAGTGTATAAGAATTCAAGTACGCTAATGCTTGCATTGTAACATGTTCTTATATTCAAATTCTACCCAGAGTAGAATTTTAACATTTTTAACATTTACCAAGTTTTTAAGCATTAGAACTTGTTTATTGGCTATCACAGATAGAGGACATGCCCTGGCAAAGTAAGAACTATGAAACTATCTACACAAGGATCGTGTGACCAGAACTCCATGTTAGTCACGATCATATCTGTCTTTAGTCTGGCCTTACCAATATTCAAGATAAATATTTTTCTTCTAAATTGTTCAGCCAGTATACTGAATATGAGTCATCATTTCAGTGACAAGAGTATAGGAATTATTTATGTCTAGCCAATATTGCTATCCACTCCAAGCGCCCTGCCCTTGGGAAAAGGAAAGCGCAGAGACACCATTAAATTTGTGGTCGATGCTTATTGGAAGCACAACTAGTGGATGATGCCTTGGGGGGGAATACTAAATCAGAGTTCTTCCTGTTCATGCATGTGCATACACAACATGGCTGCAGCTGGCTTTTACCAATACTTCACCGATTTAACACATGAGAGTAGTATTCTTCACCAGCTTTTCTACTGCTTTTCCACCAATACCCCCACCCAAATTTGAGGCCAGGAGCCCCCTCCCTCTCCAATGCCTCTTACCCTGTTGTTGTCCTTTAAGACATAGAATGGGGATTTGTCAAAGTCAATGAGCACTTTATTAAAGAGAGAGTGCTCAGTAATGAACAATTCAGCAATTTAATGAGATTCTGTAGCTCTGGATCTAGCCTGTATATCAAGTTTCACTCCTCTAAAGCACCCTGACACTAATCCTCTGGCATACCCAATCTTCACCCTGGGCTGAATATTAGATTCTTCCATGGTATATTGCTTTAACAGTATAACCTTAACAAAAATGATGAACTTAACTACACTCGAGGCAACAGAGCAGTCCTGATTTGATTTTCATGTATTGGGTTGACTGTGAAGGAATTGCTTATTTACTAAGATAAAACAAAAACAGTTACTTTACTTCCCACTCAAAGCTTAAATTGGCAAATATTTATGTGTGTCTTAATTCATTCTAGAGGTCCAGGAATGAAATTCTGGTTTCATTCATTTTGCCCACAGCAGTAAAATAGCTTAAAAATTCTAGGTAACGGCATTAGTAACCATTAGAGAGGCAATTATAATAACACCTAGAATGGCCAATGCAGTGTTTGCTGTCACTCAGAAAGCAGCACTTTTAGCATAATCAAACACACTATTCGCAATACCAAATGCAAGGCAGCAGAGAAGCACAAAAACAAAAAATAGCTGTGTGAACCATACAGCATGTGGGGGAGAAATAAACCATAATGTTCTGCAAAAGTTCTGGTTCTCACAATGCTTTGACGAAACAGTTATGCTACTGGTATTTCAATATAAGGCATATTTTCTGACAACTCCACACTTGCATTTTTCTCATTGGAATGTGGTAAATTCACACACACACACGCACACACACACACAGATCTCAAAGATGTGAATTTTGTACTCCTGCTCAAAGTAGGGGAAGGATGAGAAATTTTGAATGGTTGAATGGCTCCAAAATAACGGCACTGTAAAGAGATGAGGATCATCATATATTACTTAATAGCATTGTATAGCATTTCAGATTCAAACATAAAAAGGTGCTTCAGAATGCATGGGGCACTCATCCATAGCACCTGTCTGCAACTTCTGAAAGAAGCTGCCTTTCCTGTCAGGATTATGCAGCTAGCCTCCACAGCTTCAGCACCATCCCAGAAAAGCAATGTGTTTAGTTTGAGTGTTTACAGAACAGACTAACAGAGTTGGAAGGGACCTTGGAAGTCTTCTAGCTCAACCTCCTGCTCAAGCAGGAAACCCTGTAACAGTGGTGGCTAACCTTTTTGGACTCCTGTGCCAAAAATTGCGAGCGCGCCAGCATGCCCATTTTCATGTGCTAGTACCCATAATGCAATGCGTGCTCCCCTCCCCATGCCCCCCGTGCATGCCCGCACAATCCCCACCCCCACCCACTTACCTACACTGCGCCTCACAGCCAATTTTTCAGCTAGTTTGAGGCCTTTTGCGGCCTCCCAGAGGCTTGGAAAAAGCCCCCGCAAGGTTTCTCAGGCTGAATTATAGGCCTGTTTCGTCACTTCCGGTATTACAGGAAATGACGAAACGGGCCTATAATTCATCCTGAAAAGCCCTGCAGAGGCTTTTTCTAAGCCTCTGGGAGGACGAAAAAGGCCTCAAACCAACCAGGAAAAAAAATCAGCTGTGAGGCACAGGCATGCATAGTGAGTTAAGTTTGCCTGCAGCTCGTGTGCCAGTACAAATGGCTCTGCGTGCCACTTGTGGCATGTGTGCCATAGGTTCGCCATCATGGCCCTATGACATTTCAGACAGATGGTTGTCCCATCTCTTCTTAAAAACCTCCTGTGTTGGAAGCACCCACAGTCATTGGAGGCAAGCTGTCCCACTGATACATCGTTCTAACTGTCAGGAAGTTTCTCCTTATTTCTAGGTTGGTTCTTGCCTTGATTAATTTTCATCCATTGCTTCATGTCATGCCTTCAGGTGCTACATCTACAGAAAGGTACTACATGCATAGTCCCATATGCTCCAAAGCATCTTTTTTCACTTTGAATTTTGAGTTCTCAAAAGCCCAACTACTTAAATACAACAAAGATTTCTTACTAAGAAACTCAATTTAGTCAGACAAAGCCTATTTATATTTTAGCCCATTTCAGACATTTGGACACTTCAGACAATCTCCACTGATAGGAAGTGTGATAGCTATGGGATTTAAGGGATTGTGTTGACATGCCAATTTATCAGCCACTTCCTCCAAGATCAGCTTCATCAAATTACTTATTAGGGATGTATATCTTACCCTTCAAGGAAACTACTACTGATAGTTATTATACATAGACTAATATTACTAAATGTAAGAGAAATGAACTGAACATCTATTTTTGGTTTTGGCAAAGCATATTTCAGCTTATCCCTACGTATTTTTCTAACTGAAAAGTAGACTGCATTGAATACCAAGAGCCTCTTATGCTAAGAATGTAAAGATACAAGCTAGGCAGCAAAAGCTGAGAATATAATCCTCCAACCAATTAGCTGTATTTGTTAACCCCTGCTTTATTTTAGAGCTGCTTCTTGGCATATGAAGGCTTTCAGTATGTTGGGATATTATCAACCCTCCCCTCCCCTTCTGGAACATGAAGTTTGACTTGCATTCTTGTCAAAGGAGTAAAGCAGACTTCGGAAACCCCCTAGTGCTTCCTTGGGGAAATAATTAATTAATATTGCGCTAATAATTAATTCCTACTGCTTTTCTTTTATTGTTTCTTGTCATTTGCTGTAGCAATCTGATTTTCAGAAATGCTTATGGATATACAGTATATATTCTTTGTGTTTAACATATATGCCAATTATATAATAATAATACATATTATTGCATTTTCTTTTACCTGTTTTATTCTGGAAATAGACATTATATTCTATTTTATTTTATTTTATTTGATATAGCCATAAGGTTAATCAATAAATAAATTAGTTCCCTTGTTATGGATATACAGTACTAGTCTTTCAACAGTTTAATCGTTCTTTGTACATTACCAGCCAGATTTGTTCTTCACTGAGTGACGTGAGTTGATCACTTTTCAAAACTTCTTGGATGAGACAATATGGCAGCGCCAGGACTTCATCAGGGTGGTTATTTAGTAGTTCTGAGAGATGTTTCACTAAAAAATCAACCACGGCTTTCTCCAGCAGATTGAGGTTGAAAAGATCAGCAAGTTTATAGAGATCCAAGTAATTAAAGCTATTTAACTCCTGGGCAGATAAAACAAAACACACACATTGTTTAGAAGGAATGAGAATGTAATAAAAACTTAAAGAATTATTGTGGAAGATTGAACTACCATTCTACTTCCACAAATAAACGTATTTTAGCATACTAAACCTAGAATAAATTACTACCGTAATTTTATATCACCACTATCTATACCTCATAACACAACTATAGGTGTTATGTGAAAGAATTTGTTTCTATGGATAAATGTTGGCAATATTTGGGATAATCCTATAATAAATATATATATCCTATAATAAATCAACATTGCTAAATGCTCTGATTTCTTCTACAAAATAAACCTCTTTTGTGACCCTTATGAGAACATTTACTGTTCTTTGCTACTCAGCACCAAAATACAAAGAGAATATAAAGAACCATTAACTTGAGTTAGTTTATTTTGGCTCTCCTTATCAAAGGCTAATACCAATAAAAATCAGTTCCAAAGAGGATTTTGGGGTTTATATCTTACATAGCACATCACATCATTCCAAAATTCATAGTTTTTAGAAACAGAATGTGATATAGCACATACCATTGTTGATGACATTGATGACATTATTGTCATTATTTTTCAAAATACAAACAACTAGAATTGCTTCCCCAATCCAGTCAATGTGAACAGCTATATTATTAACAGGAGTTACCATATTTGTCTTTTTTTTTTCTAAAAACAGTCTCGATCATTATATCTTTTTTGCCCCAGTTGGTGTAGGCAAGTATATACCAAAAGACACAATTAAATTAGTAACAAGTACAGTAATATAAATAAAATATAGAATTTTCTTCAAATATCCATAGAAGGGAGTCATTATAATTCACCCTTTGGTGAAAAATAAGCACTTTCAAAATGAATATTATTCCCAGATTAATTGAGAGGAATTCCAGTTCATATACCTGGAAAATATTTTCAGAAAATTCTTTGCTTACAAAATTTCTAAAGTATTCTTCAATCCTAAACATGTCTTTACAAAATGTAATTTCCAATTAATGAGGAAAATTCAGTTTTCCACATGCGGAGCTAGTATTTCTGGAAACAATTATGTCAGTTAGAAAGTTCTGCCATGTAATTTCTAAAAAAAAAAAAAAGATTTTACTCCCTTTTCCATGCAAAATTGACCTTATAAGAAAGCTCAGTTTTAAAAATTGGGGAAAAGATGGTAACATGGAAAAATTGAATGGAAGTAGAGGCATTGACTTTGCATCAACTGATAGACAAGAAGTTGAATTTTAACATATTCTGTGTTAAGACATAAATATCACGTATAAGATGCAACCCAATGGCAATATTTACAGGTACAATACTATTAATGAATTATTTGGACCAGCAGCATCTCCAGCTTCTGAGCCACCTGGGATACTAGAATTTGTTAAATCTTTTAAAACTAAAAAATCGACTATTAGCTTTTTACAGATATTTGTTATCAATAAATCAATTTGTTAGGAAGATGCTAAGAAATCTGTAGAATTAGAGGTTCCTATATTGCCTATACCAGAGTCTCCAAACCGGGCAATTTTAAGACTTATGGATTTCAACTCCCAGAATTCCTCAGTCAGAACTTCATTCTACAATGGATCTAAAACTACAATTTATGCCAAAAAGAATAATAATAGTTAAAATTGGTTAGACTCCATTATGTGTGGATAAAAAAAGACTGTCTTAAGAGCATTTTCTGGGAGATACAATAAGGACAGTTCATCTCTAAATCATGTTTTTACAATGCTGTATATTTATTCGATTTCAGGGAAAAGTAGTGGAATATATGCACGTATGTGTGTATATTATATATCTTGTGTGACAAAAGCTAAAATTTTCAGAAAAGAATATTCTCTTGAATTACATACTTACATACATGGAATTTGACAACTGGGCAACATAAATGTATTTTGTGCCCTTACTGCAGCTAAAAAAGTCTGACATTGCAACAAAATATAAGTGAATGGCCCCATTTATTCAATGGTTTGAAGACCTGATTATACTTGCTACGTATGAGTGGATACATATGGATTTGTTTAGATAAGTACAGGTAGTCCTCAAGTTATAGCCATTCATTTAACAACTGTTCAAAATTACTGAAAAAAATGACTAATGACCAGTCCTCACTCTTACAACCATCATAGCATCCCCATGGTCATATTATCAAAATTTAGGTGCTTGGCAATCAGCATGAATTTATGATAGCTGCAGCATCCAGGAGTTATGTGATTGCCATTTGCCACTTTCCCAGCTGGCTTTCAACAACCAAAGTCGATAGGGGAAGTTGGATTTATTTAACGACTGGGTGATTCACTTAATAACTGCAGTAATTCACTTTAACAACCGTGGCAAAAAAGGTTGTAAAACTGGGGGCTGCTCCCTTAACAATACCTTGTTTAGCAACAGGTAATTCTGGTCCCAATTATGGTTGCAAGTAAAAGGCTACATATATAAAAAACCGCGTGTGTATGTGTGTGTGTCTGCATTGGACATGTATATGTAGAATTATAATTTTTAACTGTAATAATGATATATTATACTGTAATTTTTCTTTTTTTTTTTCTTTTTAAGCACTTTATATGCATTTTTTTCTTTGAGAACATACGGTTTTGTATTATAATTATGTGTTCGTTTTTTTCTTTTTTGTTATTATTTTAAAAGCAATAAAAAATAAACAAAAATGTTTTTCTCCACATGGTGATGACAATGATTGGTTGTGGTGATGATGATTTCATATTAGAATGTATCCTTGCTCATTGAACACTAAAAATGGTACTTCGGAACTCTAAATCCTGGAAACTATCAGTCTGTTACAACAGAATTATTGTCACTGTAATACCAATCACTTCTTCAGCTTAAAATTATACACTGTGGATACCCTGCTATCCAACTGATGAAGCTGCATGCCAAAAGTGGCATGCCGAGTTGGTAAGATGCATAAAGCTGATCAGATAACCTACTTTCCAATCAGCAATAAGACTTTTGGGAACATAATGATAACGGTATAGAAAGTTTTTTAAAAGATTAACTTTCTTTAGCATTCTCATACCAATATTAAATCAGTTGCTTGAAACATGACCTTGCTATCTGCCTTTTCACATCACATTTTAATATATATGAGAGAGAGATATATATTTGTTTTTTTAAGGAGCCCCAAAAGTAATTTATTTCAGCAATAATATGCTGAAATGAAGCACATTTTCAGTAACAAAAATTATCAGGAGATTAGAAACTAACCCTAATAAAGAGACATTGAGGAAAGTGGGTATGTTTTGCCTTGAAAAAAACATCAATCAAGGGAGACACCATAGCCCTCTTTCACTATTATTTTACACAGAAGACAGTTGAGGCATGATTTCTTTCATACCAGGAAACAGAATATAGAATAATGAGTTTAAGTTTGGGGTTTTTTTTTTAGTTTTTTGAATGGTTTATATAGCCACCCAACTACTGAACAGCAACTCTGGGTGCTGACATAGGCTTAAAAGGATAAAAACAAAATGACAAATAACAAAAAAAAAAAAAGCCCACAATGCAACAAAATACAGCACGAGTGAGGGCAAGCCACAAACATACAGATAGTCCTTGCTTAATGATTATTCAATATTACGACAGTCTCCCAAGGGGGCTTTTTGGCCTGAAAAGCACTTATGACCATCATAAAAGGTTTCAATCCTCTCTTGCAGTCACATGAACACAATCTGAGTGCGTTTGCATTTTCAACCAGTTGCCAAGTGCCCCATGATCATGTGATTGTCATTTGCAATTTTCTCTGCAGGCTTCCCCAGAAAGTTAATGGGGAAGCCAGCAGGGAAGATTGCAAGCTGCTGCTGCTGCCTGCCAAGAGGACTCCTTTTTGTCTCTGGGGGCTAGCTGAAAGAGCTCCCTGCTGATCCGTGCTTGCTTGAATCTCCACAGCTGAAATCCTTCTCTCCTCTCCTCTGCAGAGCTCCCTGCAGAGGCAGGGAAAGAGAAGAACCCCACGTTCCATGCATGCCTAGATCTCAGCTGCTGATCTTCACTGCCAAAATCCAAGCAGACACAGAGCTCAAAATTCTGCTCTCCCCGCATTGAGCTATCTAGTTTTATGATATGCTTGTACTATCACCAGTCATGATCCTACACAGGTCATCTACAAGTGCAATCAATACTATCCCAGTACTGTATCTCAAACTGAATTCCAACTGAAAAATATCTGCAGTAATACTTGTCCTTTATAGCCAATGGAGATGCAAACTGACTACCTTCTTAGGATTAAAATTGTCCAGGGCTGCTGAATGAAGGAATAGGGTTGTTGTTGTTGTTGTTGTTGTTGTTTTTGAGAACAGGACAGACCACTACTTTTTAAGAGCTGGAAGAAACAGTCCATACCTCAAGAAAATATTCAACACCACACTTCCAGTTTGAGCTTCTTCAGCGACAAACCAAAACCTCGTCTCTGCGAGGCTTCAATCCGTGCTCGCCGCTGGAGCGCCCCGAGCCAGCTGGCTTCGGGGGGGGCTAAGCCACCCCATAGAGGTGGTGAAGAGGGGGGAGACTGCCAGCAGGGTTGAGGAGAGCCGCATCTCTCCTCCCCAGCTGGCCATTACTCCCTTTCCTGAAGGCAGTTGCAGTGGTGGTCAGAAATGGCCACCACAAAGAAGAACTCGATCGGAAAAGAATGTGCAGGAGGAAGATAAGAAGAGAAAGTTTTGGTTGACCGGGTCAAACAGCAAAAGCAACAAATAAGGTACCCTGGAATTGAAACTGTTAAAAAACAATAACATTGTTCCCTAAGAAGATTTTTAAGCTGCAAAGGAGAGAGAAAAGGGAAAAAATATTTGGTTTTCTCCTTTTCCTATACTGATAGCTAAGAGACTTAAGCAAGAAATTGGAAAAAAAATCCACTTTGACATCAATAGGCATTTAATGCTGAAAATAAAAAGTCAAAGGAATAATAAAGACTTCTGGATAATTAAAAGCTTTTGAAAACAAGAAAGGAGAGAAAAAGAATAAAAGGGTAGG